CACCCGCCCAACCACCCCCGACCAACCACCACCAACCGACAACATCAAAGCATAAGTTTGGGGAAAAAACAGAAAAAAAGAAAATTGAAAAGAAGCATGACTATATGAACAGACAAAAAACCAGTTTAGCACCTGGAAAGCATAAAGCACAAACCAGCACTACACATCACAAAATGCAGACTGACTATGTTACACGTAAGGTACTTCCGCATTCAGGCCATCCAAAATACGGACCGTTCTGCTGAAAGTTTTCTCCTACAATCTCGAAGCCGAATGGCCGCTCCCATACCTGGTGGTGCTTACCTGTGGTATGAACACGTAGAACATTTCCTGTTTTAAGTTCATGTAGATAGTCAGGTGACAACTTTCTCACAATTAAAAAAACCCCACTTTTTTACAGTTTTTAATTTACCTGTTGAGTCTATATGAATTCCCAACAGTTTTTTTACTACCTTCTCTATGACAAGACTTTCAAATCATACCATTCGATCCTTACTGATGGTACAACGTTGGGCTTCTCCGGGTTGGCCTAATGCGTTCTGTTACAGTAAAAGCCAGTCAACGTAGATAATGGCCTCTCTTTCAGGGACCGCATGAGCACATTGGAACCCTCATACAATAGTTAAGCAAAGACAAAGAGGAGTCCTCGATATTGTAAAATATATCATTTATAGAAATATCAAACAAACATGGGGCCATAATTGATCCCTAGGGCGCACCCTTCCTTAGTTCTCTCCATTCGCTGGTGTTGTGCCCAGCCTCACCGGCTTGTTCCACCTCCTCATCAACACCATATACAAAGTTTCCGTAGAAACAGATTCATTGCAGAAGATTATGATAGCACCGCATGATAGTGATCGCCCAACGTGATATCATCACATGATGGTGATCGCCCAACAATGATAGCACCACATGATGGTGATCGCCCAACATGATAGCACCACATGATGGTGATCGCCCAACATGATAGCACCACATGATGGTGATCGCCCAACGTCTTCTACCAGGCCTCCAACATACGGAGCAAGGTGGTCCTTTATCAAAAACCATGACTGTAGGCACTGAGAGATAAGTGAAATATATTATTGCAATTTAAACTTCTGCTCATGCATAATCTTCTAATTTTGAAATACTAGATAGGATATATAATAATAGTAATAATATACAACATTTGATATAGCGCCCTATCTAGCTAGAATAAGTCTCTAAAGCGCTTTACAGTACATAGATATACAATTTATACAATCAATTTAATTAACATTTATATTAATACAATTTTGAGGAATTCGCAGGAGCTGCCTTATAAGGCGCTAACTACTAGTCCTATACCATCTCTCTAATATATTATACTCACAGTCCTGTAATTAGATTTGTGTTTGGCTTGTAAACATTTGTCGTTATCCCTGGGGGCGGGGGGAGGAAAGGCCTGGTCGAGGTAAACCAGAAACTGTCTAGAAACCTATCTATCCCCGACTCCTACTTTTTGTCCGTTTTTATATTGTTATTAACTATACTTCTAAATGGCATTAAATCTATGCCATGCCTCAAGTTACAAACAACATGCCCAGAGTCATATTTATTATTTCACTAGCATTTGAAATCACATTGAGAGGTCAAGGTCGACACCAACCTCTCATCTGATTAGCTCGGTCCACGTGACTGTATGGAGTGGACGGGGCGATATGAACAACATGCAGATGTTTGATAACATGTATATATGCAATAGATTAAAAGCACTGTGCCATATGTTGAGGTATTAAAAATAGTGTTGACATTTTCGTTCGGCATTCGCTCGCATATATGATGTCTGTCTACACTTACAGTACACAACTATTAGATAATAAAATATTGCGATTCAATGCAAATTTTAAATTAATTAATAGTATCAAGTAGTTGTCGTAGCATACGGCGGAAACATGAGACGGAAAATTCGACATCATCTGCCACTCGTTCGCGAATCACCTCATTAACTACCACATATTTAATAATGACTCTGCTATCAAGATTCCCGATTCGTGGAAAAACTCCACAATTATACCTATCACAAAACCGGGAAAGGATGCTATTGACCCAAACAACTATCGTCCTATTTCTCTGACTAGTTGTGTATGTAAAACTTTAGAACGAATGATAAACACAAGACTGGTTTGGTTTCTTGAGGCCAACGATATAATATCCCCTCTTCAAAGTGGTTTTAGAAACAGAAGAGGGACAAATGACCATCTCATCAGACACGAGACCTTCATTTGAGAGGTTTTCGCCAAGAAAGAACACCTTGTTGCCATGTTCTTTGATCTTGAGAAGGCCTATGATACTATATGGCAGTATGGCATTATGAAAGATCTTCACGACCTTGGTGTACGTGAAACCTTCCCAATTTTATATCTTATTACCAATCAGATAGACACTTCAAAGTCCTTGTTGGTTCAAAAGTGGTTTAAACGTCTAAACAGGAAATGGGAGTCCCACAGGGTGGAATCCTATCAGTCACCATGTTTGGTCTTAAAATCAATGATATAGTCAAATGTCTTGGTCAATCAACAGAAGGGTCGTTATTTATGGATGACTTCTTGATCTGTTACAGATCTAAGAACATGCACACGATAGAACGACAACTTCAACAGAGTTTAACTACAAAATTGGGCAGTCGAAAACGGCTTCAAATTCTCTAAATCTAAAACTGTGTGCATGCATTTCTGTCAAATCTTACACTCGATAGCACTAGAATTCCTGTTGTTAAACAGACTAAATTTCTCGGCCTCATTTTTGATTCGAAACTCTCTTTCATACCACATATAAAGTATCTGAAGGATAAGTGTTCCAAGGCGTGAAACATTACACGAGTTCTTTCTCATACTGATTGGGGTGCGGACCGTGAAATGCTTTTGCGCCTGTACAGATCACTTATTCGAACAAAACTGGATTATAGTTCTATGGTATACGGGTCGACACGCAGTTCGTACCTGCAGATGCTAGACCCAATCCATAACCAAGGGCTACGTCTAGCCCTTGGAGCTTTTCGGACAACACTTGTAAAAAGCCTGTACGTGGAAGCGAATGAACCATCCCTTTATGACAGAAGGAAAAAACACTTGCATTACAGTTTGCAGCTCAATTAAAATTAAATCCTAAAAAGCCTGCTTTCGACCAAGTATTCAACCCAAAATACCAAAACATATTTACTCAAAACCCAAAACTTCTGCCTACATTTGGTATCCGAATTTCAAATTTCCTTCAAGAACTCAACATAAAGTTGACTAAATTATCTGATGTTCCTCCGTAAACCATTCAAATACCTGATTTTAGCTTAACATTACATGAGCGAGGGAAATCAAATGTTAAAACTTCAGTACCTGGTGTGGGCACCTTTTGCACGAATCCCTGCACGGATTCTCCTATGCATTGAATTCATGAGAACATTTATTCGCCTTAAGGGAATGTTGTTCCATTCTTGTGTTAATGCTGCGATGAACTGGGCGCGGTTAGTTGGGGGGTTTTGACGTTTCCTTATACGCCTGTCCAGCTCATCCCACAAATGCTCAATGGAAGACATGTCGGGGCTATATGGGGGCCATTCCAGAGGCTGAACGTTGTTTGCCATGAGAAAATCAAGAAAGACTTGACAACATGCGGTCGAGCATTGTCTTGCTGGAAAATTAGGTTATGACGTCTGAGAAATGGAAGGACATGTAGTTGGAGGATCTGGTCTCTGTATCGAACGGCATTGAGGTTTTGATCCAGGACCACTAAGGGGGATTTTACTCCATGGGAGATGCCTCCCCAAACCATTACAGAAGCCTCACCGAATCTATCGCGTTCAACCACGCATGCGTCTGCGAAACGCTCACCGCGTCTGCGATATACCATTTTTCTTCCGTCTGAGCGATACAGACAGAATCTAGACTCGTCGGTGTACATCACACGCCTCCATCGACGCATCCCAAACCTATTCGGGCCATGTCTGCGCATCCAGTCAAGACGCACTTGCCGCCTCCGTGGTGTCAGAGGTGGCCCGACATAAGGTCGGCGCGCAATGATTCTCTCGGCACGCAAGCGGTTCCTGGCAGTTTGAGGACTAATGGGTCTGCCATGTGTACCTAAGGTATGCGACGCAGTCTCTACAGCAGTCTTGAATCTGTTGCGCAAGCGAGACAATCGAATCGCCCGTCTTGTCGTGTGGTCGTTACACGCGGACGACCGCTCCTGGGACGATCGGACACTAACCCAGTAGCACGGAAACGTGTACAGAGACGGTTAATTGTACGGGTTATTGCCGTGCGACAGCAGTTTGGCAATGATCATCCATTAACATCGCAATTGCTCTACCCCTCTGAATTTGCGTTAAGCGTGGCATCTCAGTCAGTGGCGAAATCAAAATGCCAACGTGGAAACTTAATGTGGCTGAATGTATCCGTTGAGATTATTTGTTTGAAAAACTCCGGCTTGGCTTGATCACGCGCGTGATTTGGACTAAAGAAGCTCACAAAGTCACACAATGACATCGTCACGCTTTTGTTCATTATATCTATTCCCAGTCGGAAAGATCGTAGAGAGGAAGTTGTCCTCGCTCGACTCCGTACTGGGCACACATATCCTACTCATTCGTACCTATTAAAACGAGAAGATCCACCTTCATGCCACGCATGTTACACTCCATTTACAATGGAACATTTTTTAATAGAATGTTCCGATTTTAAACACATTCGTGATAACTACTTTCGAGTCCCAGATATGAAAACTCGAATGCTTTTAAAATGAACCTTTTTATCTGATTTTATCTTTGCTACTCACATGTTTGTTTAAAAATAAGATAAATAAATAAACCACCATGGCCCTAAATGACTACAGCCGTCGATGGGCCGTTAAACCCAAACAAACAAACAAACAAAAGCTATCAAGTTATCGGTCAGTAAAAAAAGCAATCCAATACAATCTGAAGGTTTAGACAGTATCACCCAGTCATCGTTACATTTGAAGGGTAAAAAAAAGGAGGCGCAAAATATAGGACATTTCCCTCAGACTAAAGAAATAATAGATGGGACTGCGCCTTAAAAATTTTTTTTTTTTTGTAGAGATTAAACTATTGCTTAAAGTTATATATGACCAAGTTAAATTGCGGCAATTCTCAAATACCTGTTTTACAAAGAAACTGAAAAATAATCATATTTCTACTACACTTGTGATATGAACCGGGAAAGTATCCTGATGATCGATTTTGGTCTCTTTTTATCTCTGAGTGACGCGAGGCCAGGGACCCCGCTTTTTCAAACCCCATATTCAGTCCTGATTGGCCAGCAGCCATGGCACCAAACCAAAACAGCAACGAGGGAACGAGGTGAAGCTCGAAGACGCCCTCGTTTAACCTCATGCATCTGAGACTCCTTTGCCGCCAGTACAAAGAGGGAGTAATCTTCATTACACATGATCATGTAAAATATATATATATATCAACATTCACTGGAAGTTATTGTTCCTACAAACACATGTTTTGAAGTGTTAACATTTAAAGGCGTTTCTTTATTTTTAGAATTGGCGGAAGGATATACACGACGGAATTCGGTAAGAAGGCTTCCGGTGACAAAGCCATCATTGAACTAGGCGCGAATTGGATTCACGGCAGGGCCCATAATCCTGTTTACAAAATTGCTTTGGAAAAGGGACTTCTTGAGCCACATGTTCTCCTTGACAGGTAACTACCCTTATAAGGCCGCCATTGCTGCTATGTCTCTCTGTCATTAACCGGTATTTCTGTGGTCATTGTTAGCCTTCGTACCGCACACAGACAACAACTCTCAACGTTACTGAAATAACGAGCGTTTTGTTTGCATGTGCTGCTGGCGTTTAAACTTACTTCGCATTACCTGTATTTTTATACTTTCTGTGAAGGTCTGGATATATATTAACTGGAGTTACGGAGTTTTAACCGACCTACACCGATCCAATGATAACACTTATTTAACAATACCGGCTGTTAGTTTATCAATTAAGCAGTATGTACATCACTATGATGTGTTTTTAGAACTGATGACTGCAAAAAGCATGAACTTGGTATACGAGTAGCCCCGGAGAAGCAAAAAGGTCCTCCTGATTTGGGGTCACTGGTTCGTGATCGATCAAGGTAACGGTTACTAAAAACAGTATTTTTCCGAATCTCTACATCACTACAAATGTTTCTTAAGGTGGTTTTTTTTGTAAAAGCCACCCCAAAATTACCATTATTACTCAGAAGATCCTACAAAAAATAAGAAGTTTTTTCTTGTTTCCAAAGCTTTGTATATGGGAGTCTGCCTTATGTTGTTCTTTTTTTCTCAGTCTGATTATTTGTTGCCCAATACACTGTATAAAAAGTCAAGGCATCTTTTGAAAACGATGACGAAAGATGAATAGCAACAGCGGTTTTTATAGGAGTGAAGTTTAGGTAGTGTGAGTGTTGTACAATACAAACAATAATACTATTAGTTACACGGATTTTTGGCAGGGTATACGGGATGGTATGACCCTAAAGGGTTTCGTATTTCCTGAGGCCGATAGGCCGATAGGCCGAAGGAAATACGAAATCCTGTAGGGTCATACCATCCCGTATACCCTGCCAAAAATCCGTGTAACGAATTTATTACCCCTTTGAGTCTTTTATATTGGTTTTGTACAGTTCCCCGTCAACTTTTCTGTTGTCAAGATAAAAATGGCACAGTAGATCTACCTCATTTAGTTTCGTTTTATCAAATTCCTCGAACTGTTCTTCCTGATTCTTTTCTTTTAAATACGTCCTCAGCATGTTTGCCGCTCGTCTGTTCGACTTTTGTGTGTTTTGTGGCACATAGTTAGCCCTTTTGGCGAGTATTTCCTCATCAGTATGCGAAGCGAAACGTTTTGTCATTTTGTAAACATCACCGGAAGCAGACGACGAATGCGAGTTGTCTCCCATTGCCCGGCCGCAAGATACAAAGACACGTGACCCGTATACCCCTTGTAAAAGCACGTGATTCCACCGTATTACTGCTGAGAATCACGTGACATGACCGTATACCCCCTGAGATTTTCGTATACCCCTTGAGATTTACGAATGCGGTTTGGTACACTGTAGTTTTTAACCAATCAGATTCCTAGATTTTTCTCAAAGGGGTAATAATATTAGTTACACGAATTTTTGGCAGGGAATACGGGATGGTTTGACCCTAAAGGGTTTCGGAATACGAGTTGTCTCCTGTTGCCCGGCTGCAAGATACAAAGACACGTGACCCGTATACCCCTTGTAAAATCACGTGATTCCACCGTATTACTGCTGAGAATCACGTGACATGACCGTATATTGATTCGGCAGGAGATAAATACACCTGTTGCGTAACTGGTAAACCGTATTAAAATAAGACTTGTTCACTAAATTAAACTGCTAAAAAGTTTAACAGTTTCCTTTAATCTTTCATTTCTAGGATGGAAGGCCATTTTCACACAGAGGACGGACGACGCGTAAACAAGGATCTCGGCGATAAACTTTGGGAGAAATTTCTCGCAATTGAAGAAGATTGTAGCAGTTTTTTCGAAGACAATATTGAGACCAGCTCTACCATTGCCGATCATTTCAGAGAACGACTGGCCATCGAAATTGAACATTTTTCCCAAGAAGACAGATCGGATCTTAGACTTTTGGCCAACACCATGCTGAACTACCTGAGCTTCCATATTGGGGACAACCTGGATTTAATGTCGCTTAGGTATGATGGGTCCTATGACGAAATACCAGGAGGAAATGTTAAAATACCGAAAGGGTTCACAGAAGTCGTTAAAATATTTACCAATAATTTTGACGTTGATACTATTAAACTAGGAACAACCGTGACGAACATAGATTGGGACCAATCAAAACACGGACCAAGCTCCGTCAAAGTTTCCTGCAGTTTGACTGATGGAGAAGAGATGTTTTACACATGTGATCATTTAATAGTCACGTGTTCCCTTGGTGTGCTGAAAAAGGCCGTTGAAGACAAATCTCTTTTCAGACCAGAGCTTCCCATAGATAAATGCGAATCTATCAACAAAATTGGGTTTGGGAAAGTAAACAAGATTTTTCTTCATTACGACAAACCATTTTGGGAACCTGGCAGAGCCAGCGTCAAACTTGCATGGTCTGGTAAATATGCCGATGTCGACGAAAAGTCGGAATGGTACAGGAGGTTTTACAGTTTTGACGAGGTCATGGACAACCCAACAGTTCTAGTCGCTTGGATCAGTAGCATTGCTGCAGTTCACATGGAACAGCTACCGGAAACGGAAGTGAGTAAGACATGTACTGCCATATTGCGTCAGTTTCTGAATAATCCAGATGTTCCAGAGCCTACCAGTGTATTGAGGAGTTCTTGGTGCTGTAATCCTCTCACCCTAGGATCTTATTCGTATGTTAGCATGGACTCCAATCCCACTGATATCACTACTCTGTCGGAACCTCTCTATAACCCGGACCGGAAACCAGTCGTTCTGTTTGCAGGAGAAGCAACGCATGTGCAGTGGCGTTCCACGACACACGGAGCTCTCGATTCCGGAAAAAGAGAAGCGAATCGACTTGTGAAATACATAACTAATGACGGGTCAAAAAGCAAGTAAAATATATTGCTTTTGAGAATAAAGTATCCTTCGAAATTAGATCTGTTTGACATGCTAAATTGGTAGCGATAAGGGAAGTGATAAAGCAATATTAAGACTATATTTAAATCGAAGCGGAGACTTCGTGGATAGTTTTGCACTCGGCAATCCAATGTTTGGTTTGATTTCGTATTTTACGTCCTACTAACAGCTTTGGTCATTTAAGGACGTGCCAGGTTTTGGTGTTGGAGGAAAGCCCGGAGTAACTGGAGAAAAGCCACCGATCTGCAGCCAGTATCTGGCGACTGCCCAACGTATGCCTCGAGCCAGCAACCCAGTGGTGGAGGCCTAGTGATTACAGACTTTAAGACACCTCTACCACTTGTCCACCGCGGCCCCTAACCCCATGTTGGTACGCGACACACTGTTCAATCATATTAAGTGTTCTCATTTCGTTGTGCAATGCAGACCAATATCACGATGTGCCTACATATCAAGTTTGAAGACAATACTTGAAGCAGAGTGCAGCTTTGGAAATCTACACTTCTGCATCTGGGATCTAAGATCAAGGTAAAAAATATCAGAAGAGATCGAGATAAAGTTGATTTGGAATGCGACAGTGCCTTTACATGATATACCTTTATTACAAATTTCAAGTCAATATCTGAAACAGTGTCCTAAATATTGTTTGGAAACCTGTATTTCGGTCATTGACATAAAGTGCAAACAAAGGTCGAAGCGATTTCTTCTTCTTCTTCTAATGCTAAAGATGATTCTTGTTAGAGTGTTTCACTCCATCGACGTGCCGTGCACCTGCCCAAGCCACAGGTTAAAAAACTTAACGGGATAAAAAGATATTTTTGTAATTTTGTGCAGAAGGTAAAAGCATTTGACGATACAATGACTGCCAGTCCCCAGGAGGTCGACAGCTTGTAAGCAGAACCTGTATACTGGACGATCCTCCGATTACATTGTCCTTGATGACGTTTAGTAGTTTGCTCCACCTTCATGTGGTTCTGGGAAGAAAACTGTTACAACAGGAAGACGTCAAGACGCGCTGGTATATGTTGGTAGTTAAGGCTTTCTGTTCTGGTTCTAGAGTCTTATAACTTCTGTAATTGTTCAAAACTGGAGTCTAGTCGTTGGTGAATAATGTTGTACAGCATCGGTACTCTAGATCTTACTTTCCTTTATTCCAACTGTTCTTAGCAGGGTAGTTGTAGAAGAATGGCGGTCATACTGCCAGGTTCCGTCGATTTGAAGTCCCCAACTACAGATCTTGCGACGGGACTCTATAACCTTGCGACGGGACTCTGTAACCCCTGCAGATGTTTAATATGGGTACCTGTGTAAGGATCCTCGGTTGAGGCGGCATATCCAAGAACTGGGCGGACAAGCATGATGTATGTGTGGGCTTTGACATCTTTAGGACAAGCGTAGATGTTCTTCAAGAGGAAGTCGGTGGTTTCGATGCCGTGCTGATGTGATCTCGCCATGACAGGTTCGAAGAGATGCTAATCTCCAGGTAGACTCTGGATTGGCTAAAGAAGGAATTTTGGTTTATCCATTTGAGTGCTGGAGCACATTTTGTAAGCAGTCTCAGGGATTAATACATGGCCAAATGCCCTATGTAAGCGGTCTTCTAAATATATTTTCTACTCCCAGTGCGTTCACTCGTATTCTGGGCATCGATAGTGAAGGCGTTCCACCCGGAGCTTGAACGGTGGTGATATTTGCTAGAACGGAGACGTGTTTGAACTGTTCGTTAAGTATCACAGATTTTGATTTTGCTTCACTGTAAACTGACCCTTCTGAGGTTCTTAGGGGTGCAGTGCAGCCCCAACTGCTTCTTGTCGTTTGTTCTTGGTGTGTGACTAGAAACTGTTGTGGTTGTGGTGACAATCTATGCTGCTGATGCTGTGCTTGTTGAGGATAAGTCTGACCGTCAGCTATGTTCCCGCCCTTAATGATCTATATATAGTCCAGTCTTGTTCCATCAAACCAAATCCACTGTTTCACAATTACTGATGTTTCACGAAAACAAAATCTGGTGTTTCTTGATATATATTGTTATTTAACAATAATTGGTGTTTCTTGGTTATAGTAGTCATGAAATTATTTTTTTGTTATAAATGGCGTTTCATTATAATTGATGTTTCATTATACTAACTTTTATTGGATGGTAATAACTGGCGTTTCATGATAATTGATGTTGCTTCTTGGTAATAACTAGTGTTTCCAAGCTGTAGTATTTGTGTCATGTTAATAACTGATGTATCATGATCATAACTGGGCTTCTGTGTTAACAGATGAAAAACTCAATTGATATTTGAGTTTCATAAGACAATTCAGATCGATGTAATAAACAATAAACAACACACACAATGACACAAATAAAACATTTATTGAAATAACACCATATATAACAGGTGAAAGGTTTTAAAGGTTTTCGACCTTTTGATCAAATTAGTGAAAGCTTACCGCTAAATCTGGCAAGAAACACAACTCTTACAGAATGGCTTTGCACACATGGATAACCTGTAGATATATATCGGCAAACAGAAATACGTTGTGGAATATTACTGAAGCTATAGCAACATTGAAACACTTTTGCAATCACGATTACTTTCTCTTTACAATTGTTTATACTAAGGTATAACACCTGACCAATCAATTCATTCCATTAATAATTTCATATATATTAAATTATTATGCCATCAGCTAATCGCGAGCTACTCTTCTATTAAACTAGCGACTTTGCGAGAAGATGGTGAAGAGGAAGGCTACATATCAAAGTATAATAACCGGAATAAATGTATGGACTTGAAGTATTTCTTTGATGTTATTATTGACAAATCACCTCTACATGACATTAAGCTTTGTATCACATGTAAAAATACTTTACCACACATTACAGTAGCTACCAATCCTTCAAGAACGGGGTCAGGCTCCCTGAGCAGGAGGAGGTAACACTATAATGAGTGGATGTGAGCTTTACCTGGATAGATAAGTAGGTGATAAAAAGTTTTGGGTCGGCAGAAAAATCTAGGATTGGTTGGGATACCTGAACACATTTGTTTGACCTATTACATATGCATGTGATGGAGGCTGCTAAGTGAAATGATAAACAAATTTGCAGCAGGTACAACTAAGTGACAAATTTGATGTTTCTAAGGAAACACCTTGCCTGGGGAACGATATAACTTCGTTACAAGGAAGATTTAGTAACAATGACGCTAGGTGGCGTATATGCTACCTAGCAAGTAGTAAGTTAGAGTTGTTCCCCTTGACTACGCTTATAAGGGAGACTTCGTATAAAGGGAGACCTTGTAAGAGGGAAGATTAGTTATGAGGAAGATTTAATATCAAGGAAAACTTTATTAAAAGGAAGATTTGGTCATAACGAAAACTTCGTTATAAGGAAGATGTAATAAAACTAAGATTTAGTAGAAAGGAAGACATCTTAATAAAGAAGAATGTATTAAAGGGGACTTCGTTATGAGGAAACTTATGTGTTGAAAATTCTTCGTTATAAGGAATACTTTGTTATAAGGAAGACTCATAACAAGGAAGACTTCGTAATAACGAAGATTTCTTTATAAAAATACACGTAATAAGCTTGTTCCGTCAGCGATCTTTACTGCAGTCGATCAAACAGATGCAAACGCTATAGATACAAATGACTGCTGAATTAAATACGAAACATACATTGAAACAAAGTCAAGAAAATGTATTATTCAAAAATCATAAAATACAGATCAATTCTATCTTTACAACAAAAATGTTACTATTAAGGTATACTGTTACATATAAAACATGACTGAAAAAATTTAATACTATAAGATTTGAATAACTGTATATAACTTTGTTTTCACGGGAAATTAACTTCGCGTTAATTTTCCAGTAGAATCGTCCGCGAACATATGTTTCATTTTCTTTAGCTGCTTATGTTTGATTCTGATTCTTTCGTATTCCTAGAAATGTAGGATGCATAACACCATCTTGTAATAAGACAAAAGAAAATATCACGTTATACGTACGTGGTAATTTTATCGACTGTATTTTCTGACTGTACCTTAACTTAAACAATTTAAAATATCAATTTACATCAAAACACAGGTGATTTGCATCAGATTTAAACATTCTCATCAAAGCTTGCGTAAGAACACCTGTGACCTGCATTAGGTCTACTAACAAGATTAAAACATATACTGTAAAATGGAAATTTTGGCGTGTGGATATCTTCGTGTTGTTACTATTCAAAATAGTCGCGGTGTAGAATTTTTCGCTTTGGCAATAATTATTAAATCTGTATAACCTATAAATCATCATCTGTATAATCTATAAATTCTTATTCGCATACAGACATTTTCGCTCTTCTTTATTCAACGAGAAACGCGACTATTTCCACACCGCGAACATTTCCAATTTGACAGTATACCATTTCACAAACACTTCAGCATACCGAGATTTTTAATATGTTGTATTATTATTCTTATAAACCTTCTAATCAGTTGTTTATTATAAAGTATATATATATATATATATATTTATATGCAAGATGTGATTGCTATATGAAATGAGTCAAAAGACTCGCGGTTATATAAGATTTAAAATAATGATCGTAATAGTTTATTATATTTTACATAAATATAAAAGTAAGGCCTAACATATGGAGTGAGATGTGTAAGAGTATATAAACGACTAACATATACTAATATATACCAAAGAGTACGTGCAAGTTGACACAAGAGACATATAAGGGATATAAAGTTATAATAATAATAAACAAGTTAAATGATTGGTTTGGTTCTCACTGAGTTTTGGCAATATTTAATTGTTGGAAGTGTATACAACTGTATGGCTATCATTTCAGCATCAAAGAAGACGAGACAGAATAATAAGAATCACTTTTAAACTTCAATTAAGCCTAATGTGAAAGGGTGCTGTAAAGCTAATTTTCAGCCGGACCAACTTCCCCTGCCGCGCTGTTTACGGATTCATTAGATTAAATCAAAAGTATTCTCCATACTTTTCGAAGCTTGGGTAAATCCAAGACACTTTAAAAAAAAAGACTCGTCCTGTTCCACGCATAGAAATCGCATGGTCGAGGAAGTTTGCCTCATTGTGATGTTACTTCCGTATATATAAATAATTATTTTAATTCATTACAACAAGACACGCATGATAATACTACCTAGAATTACCAAAATTCAGCTAGAACCCGTCTTTATTTTAAATGACACTGGTACTTTTGAACATAGAGACAAATACATGATATCAAGTTTTGAATTCAAGAAAATTATAACACCATCACATTTACTCTCGATCGATCGATCGATCGATCTCGACTTCCTCTCAACTTCTTGAAAGAATGTGACTTGATATTCGTCTGTTGCTAGACAAGCCCCCGACTTGTTATAAAACAGTTGCACTCTTGTCTTTTTAGCACTGATTATCATTTAGGTAAACAGAACCAGTAGGATGACATCTCAATTTAAGCAAGGGATTGTCACAAGCACGATACAATGAACTATGAATATACATCTCATCAGATCCGAAAAATAGTGGAAAACTCTACAATCCGGAAATTAGATTTCTGGATGTTCGTTGTTCGAATCTGAACTTCTTTCTTCATAAATACTGAGATGTTTATTTATTTCGATCAAATCGTTTTCCATACTTGTACTGTGTTCCGATTGATAAAACTCAGCATCAATTAGTAACCGGATTATAACTTCCATAGAAAAAACTGAAGCAACGGACTAAAAAAATGTTCTTTTCTTTATGTTTATTGAAAGCAATTAGTTATATATATATATATTGTTTCGGAGCACTGTTCTGCTATGTGAAGGAACAAGAGACAAAATGTGTGCCATCGTATTTTCTGGAAGAACTTCCTCATCAGAATGACGTGACTAAAACATAAAACACAAATAATGAGAGGGTATATTTCTCATAATGCGCTCAGTTAGATATTCACTATGTATTCATATTTAATTGAGATAGTCATTCATACAAACGTAATACTAGTTTTCCCGTTTCGTGAATAATTTCTTCATAACGCTGTATTTGTACCCTTAACAAAACATGCTACAATTTTTCATAACGATAATTAAATTCATGAAATTAAATCCCTGTTAAAATGAAGCTCAAGAGCATCATGTGGAAGTGAATTTTGCGTTTGTCGACTGTCAAGTTCAAAGCAAGATAAGGTATCGTCGTCCGTCGTCCGTCCGTCAACTTTTTATTTTGAACGACTTCTTCTGAAGAACTGGAGGACCTACAGTAATGGGGTCAAATGTCAACTTTAAATGCTAGTCGGGGGTGAAAGGTCAATATGTGTTAAAAGCTTTAACAATCTTCTTCTCAAGTTCCATAAAGTCCAGGGTCATGATATTTGGTCAGCAGGTACCTGGATGGAATGCTCCTCAGCAAAATGACCTTTACCTTTTTTTGAAGGTCACAGGGGTCAAATATGTTAAAAACTTCAAACAACAATATCTTAAGGACCATTTGGTCTAGAGTCATGATACTTGGGTATAATATGTAGACCAGCTATGTGAATCGTTTTCTTAACTACAATAATGCGGTCATAGGTCAACTTTCAGTGCTAGCCGGAGTCAAAGGTCAACGTGGGTTAAAAGTTTTTAAAATAAAATTTCAAATTTCAAATGTCAAACAACAGTATCTTAAGAACCGTTTAAGAGGTGTTAAAATGTCTTGTGTTCTAGTTTCCAAATTTGGTCTGAAATTATCTTTATGTCAGTTTCATGTAACAAAAGAAACAGGTGAGCGATACAGGCCCTCTGGGCCTCTTGTCCCATAATGCTATGGGTTTTCTAAACGGTCCATTGGTCTAGTTGCCTACTAAAAATATGGAGGACAAAGACTGTTTTGGACGTCCAATATGTATGCTCATAGTGCATATTGTTCTTGGAACCTGTTACCTTTTTCGTCTGTTTCCGTCATACGGTCCAGGGTTGCTATTGATCCAGCGCGATGACTATCCATGGTCATTTCACCTCCGGGAACCAAAATTACTTCCGAATGCGAACGAGACAAATTTGAACTCGACAACCGCACAGCTGAGTGGGCTCTGTGACTGTTTCGGGCACTAGATGGGAGTGTGGTGTTCCCAGTTGTGCCGGACACCCGATGAGTTGAACCAGAAAAACGATTTGAGGATGCAGATAGCCTGTTTGTTGAACTTGAAGTCCGGTTCGAGGTCCCTTGATAATCATATCCGGTCTGGTGGCTGTGATCGTCATTAGATTCCGATATAATCACCGCAGGATCCGAATTTGGCCCAGCTGGCATTATTTGTGTAAAATAGAATTCTCTTTCCTGTAAATCGAAAATATGGTTGTTATATATTGATCAGATATTGTTTCGTTAAGGTTCGGTTTTGTTTTTACAGTAAGAGTGGTTTCGCTTGTAGGGCTCTTAAGTAGAAGGATCAGAATTCGCGATGACACTTCTGTCCATATATGCTAAGAGATGTTTAGGACGCTGAATGTTACAATCACATGTGGTATTTTTGTTTAAAAAAATGTGAGATTGGTCAGGATTATGACAAGTTTAAAAACAATAAATGAATAAATAAATAGTCGCGGTGGCCAAGTGGTTAAGGCGTCTGACATTTCTGCTACCACCAGCCCTCCACCACTGGGTCGAGGGTTCGAGACCTACGCATTAAATGACATGCCTCCATGTGTGTTGTGTAAGCGTGCATGTGTGTATGAGATAGCATTATAAAATCGGCATCAGATCCGCGCTATAACAAGGTGGCAAATACACCAACATACCCTGTCTCCGGCACACATACACGCATGCAAGCATACACAACACACATGGAGGCACGTCCTTAAATTACATTAGATTTTAATAGGACATTAACCCAAATAAAACCAAAAACAAACCAATCAAGGCACTATGAAATAAAGGGTATTTAGAACTAGAGAGAAATATAAAGTTCCAAATATTGCAATGGGTGCAGCAGATTTATTTTGGTCGCTTTCGTGTCACCAAATAGAGAGCACAAACGTAAAGCCCCAATTTTGCAGGGGGGGGGGGGTCCCACATAAGTCGCCTCTTATTATACAATGTACATGCCGTGAGTAACAGCAGGTGTAATCTGAAGAGAACGTATCTCAATTCTGTTATTGGTTCTATAACTTCAGAGAAAGGAATGACATTATTATTTAATCAGCATCCTATTTTCAATTAATCATTATTGGTGTCAAACATTTCTAGGAAATATGGTGGCAAATTCACCTACGCAATGCAAACTTAAGGTAAAAAAATCTTGTACAAGCCGGAGTTCAAATTCAGTTGGATCACAGAAAAGGAGTCCTGTTGAATAAGGGGTCCCGAATGAAGGGAGACCAGAGAACGGGGTTCCGGGTGAAGGGAGTCTGATTTAAAGAAGTCCGGATAAAGGAAGTCCGATTAAAGGGAGTCCGGATAAAGGGATTCATAGTCAAAGCTTCTAAGACATACATACCACTTGATCCTCTGTATGGCTGTGGTCACTGACAAAACAACAGATATCATATTTAGATTATATTAACAACAAAAATGTTTCCGACAAAACTATATAAGGTCGGTAAGAGCTGTGTGAGTGACATGGATACGTTTGTAAATGAGGCTGAGTCATGTGTACGGCTAGGTCAGAGACAAGGATGTATCTCTCTGGGTCACACATACAAGGATACGTTTGTAAATGAGGCTGAGTCATGTGTACGGCTAGGTCAGAGACAAGGATGTATCTCTCTGGGTCACACATACAAGGATACGTTTGTAAATGAGGCTGAGTCATGTGTACGGCTAGGTCAGAGACAAGGATGTATCTCTCTTGGTCACACATACAAGGATACATTTGTAAATGAGGCTAAGTCATGTGTACGGCTAGGTCAGAGACAAGGATGTATCTCTCTGGGTCACACATACAACGATACGTTTGTAAATGAGGCTGAGTCATGTGTACGGCTAGGTCAGAGACAAGGATGTATCTCTCTGGGTCACACATACAAGGATACGTTTGTAAATGAGGCTGAGTCATGTGTACGGCTAGGTCAGAGACAAGGATGTATCTCTCTGGGTCACACATACAAGGATACGTTTGTAAATGAGGCTGAGTCATGTGTACGGCTAGGTCAGAGACAAGGATGTATCTCTCTGGGTCACACATACAAGGATACGTTTGTAAATGAGGCTGAGTCATGTGTACGGCTAGGTCAGAGACAAGGATGTATCTCTCTGGGTCACACATACAAGGATACGTTTGTAAATGAGGCTGAGTCATGTGTACGGCTAGGTCAGAGACAAGGATGTATCTCTCTGGGTCACACATACAAGGATACGTTTGTAAATGAGGCTGAGTCATGTGTACGGCTAGGTCAGAGACAAGGATGTATCTCTCTGGGTCACACATACAAGGATACGTTTGTAAATGAGGCTGAGTCATGTGTACGGCTAGGTCAGAGACAAGGATGTATCTCTCTGGGTCACACATACAAGGATACGTTTGTAAATGAGGCTGAGTCATGTGTACGGCTAGGTCAGAGACAAGGATGTATCTCTCTGGGTCACACATACAAGGATACGTTTGTAAATGAGGCTGAGTCATGTGTACGGCTAGGTCAGAGACAAGGATGTATCTCTCTGGGTCACACATACAAGGATACGTTTGTAAATGAGGCTGAGTCATGTGTACGGCTAGGTCAGAGACAAGGATGTATCTCTCTGGGTCACACATACAAGGATACGTTTGTAAATGAGGCTGAGTCATGTGTACGGCTAGGTCAGAGACAAGGATGTATCTCTCTGGGTCACACATACAAGGATACGTTTGTAAATGAGGCTGAGTCATGTGTACGGCTAGGTCAGAGACAAGGATGTATCTCTCTGGGTCACACATACAAGGATACGTTTGTAAATGAGGCTGAGTCATGTGTACGGCTAGGTCAGAGACAAGGATGTATCTCTCTGGGTCACACATACAAGGATACGTTTGTAAATGAGGCTGAGTCATGTGTACGGCTAGGTCAGAGACAAGGATGTATCTCTCTGGGTCACACATACAAGGATACGTTTGTAAATGAGGCTGAGTCATGTGTACGGCTAGGTCAGAGACAAGGATGTATCTCTCTGGGTCACACATACAAGGATACGTTTGTAAATGAGGCTGAGTCATGTGTACGGCTAGGTCAGAGACACGGATGTATCTCTCTGGGTCACACATACAAGGATACGTTTGTAAATGAGGCTGAGTCATGTGTACGGCTAGGTCAGAGACACGGATGTATCTCTCTGGGTCACACATACAAGGATACGTTTGTAAATGAGGCTGAGTCATGTGTACGGCTAGGTCAGAGACAAGGATGTATCTCTTGTATTTTTCTGGGTCATAAACATAGATAGTCTCTTTTTTAGTCAGAGACATATGTATACGTCTTGTAATAAGGTAAAAGGCATGTAAACGTCTCTTGGTCACAGACGGATAAACCTCTATTTAGTCTAGAGACAAATAAACAATCATGGATGCACATTTATCTGATTAAGATATATGGATGCATGTGTAATTTTTACAGAGACATGTATATGTCTCTATTTATAAAATACATATGCAATGCGCTCGTCAGTCGGAAATGGAGAAATGCTATTGCGGAATCTAATGATCAGGTTTAGATTTGCAGTTAATAATAATATATTCGTTGACAACGACGAGAGATTGTTATAGAAATCGATTTTTTATACCACAAATAGCCAGTAAAATGTATTAAAAATCAAAACTCACCTAGGGATTTGAATTGGTTCTGCCTCTGTGAAATGGAAACAAACGAGACAATTATGCATCATCAAAGCTACAGATTGGTCAATGTCGCCGGATAGGGACGAGTGGTATACAGATTGGTCAATGTCGCCGGAAAGGGACGTGTGGTATACAGATTGGGCAATGTCGCCGGATAGGGACGAGTGGTATACAGATTAGTCAATGCCGCCAGATAGGGACGTGTGGTATAGAATTTTGTTAATGTCGCCGGATAGGGACGTGGGGTAAACAGATTGGTCAAAGTCGCCAGATAGGGACGTGGGGTACAGAAATTTGTTAATGTCGCCAGATAGGGACGTGAGGTATAGAAATTTGTTAATGTCACCGGATAGGGACGTGTGTTATTCAGATTGGTCAATGTCGTCGGATAGAGACGTGTGGTATACAGATTGGTTAATGTCGCCAGATAGGGACGTGAGGTATAGAAATTTGTTAATGTCACCGGATAGGGACGTGTGGTATTCAGATTGGTCAATGTCGTCGGATAGAGCCGTGTGGTATACAGATTGGTCAATTTCGCCGGATAGGGACGTGTGGCATACAGATTGGTCAATGTCGCTGGATAGGGACGAGTGGTATACAGATTAGTCAATGTTGCCAGATAGGGACGTGTGGTATAGAAATTTGTTAATGTCGCCTGATAGGGACGTGTGGTATACATATTGGTCAATGTCGCCGGAAAGGGACGGGGGGTATAAAGATTGGCCAATGTCGCCGGATAGGGACGCGTGGTATACAGATTGGTCAATTTCGCCGGATAGGGACGTGTGGCATACAGATTGGTCAATGTCGCAGGATAGGGACGTGTGGTATAAATATTGGTCAATGTCGCCGGAAAGGGACGGGGGGTATAAAGATTGGCCAATGTCGCCGGAAAGGGACGGGGGGTATAAAGATTGGCCAATGTCGCCGGAAAGGGACGTGTGGTATCCAGATTGGTCAATGTTGCCGGATAGGGACGTGTGGTATTCAGATTGGTCAATGTCGTCGGATAGAGACGTGTGGTATACAGATTGGTAAATGTGGCCGGATAGGGACGTGTGGTATAGAAATTTGTTAATGACGCCGGATAGGGACGTGTGGTAGCCAGATTGGTCAATGTCGCCGGTTAGGGACGAGTGGTATAAAGATTTGTAAATGTCGCCGGAAAGGGACGTGTGGTATGCAGATTGGTAAATGTCGCCGGATAGGGACGGGTGGGATACAGATTGGTCAATGTCGTCGGATAGAGACGTGTGGTATACAGATTGGACAATGTCGCCGGATAGGGACGCGTGGTATACAGATTGGTCAATTTCGCCGGATAGGGACGTGTGGCATACAGATTGGTCAATGTCGCCCGATAGGGACGTGTGGTATACAGTTTGGTCAATGTCGCCGGATAGGGACGAGTGGTCTACAGATTGGTCAATGTCGCCAGATAGGGACGTGGGGTATACAGATTGGTCAATGTCACCGGATAGGGACGTGTGGTATGCAGATTGGTCAATGTCGTCGGATAGAGACGTTTGGTATACAGATTGGTCAATGTCGCCGGATAGGGACGTGTGGTAAACAGATTGGTCAAAGTCGCCAGATAGGGACGTGTGGTATAGAAATTTGTTAATGTCGCCGGATAGGGACGTGTGGTATCCAGATTGGTCAATGTCGCCAGTTATTAACGAAACAGATAATCTGAACAAAATGATACATGTAATCAATCAATGTATTCTCGAGTACTTATGCTATCTATTTTTAACTATTTAAAAGGTCATGTCGATAATTCCAAACTAATCAGTTTCATGTACATTGTAAAACATGTTCATTTTCTACTTGAACGCACATAATAATTGGGATTACTTTTACTGATCAACATTTTTACAGAATATAAAAACGCCATCACACCGTTGAAACAACCGGGTTAACGTTCATTATCTAAATTACCTCCCCTTATCCTACCAAAGTTAGTAATGTATATGATCGTATTCCTTTTTTGTGACTTTCATTGAATATCAAAAGAAATTATAACTTTATGACATTTGCTTGCCGTGCAAAGAAAACCCATGACCTCTAATCTTATCGAGTTCGATGGTTATTTTCCCCCTTTTTTAACTACCAACGCAGGCTGAACGTCATTTTCTAACGTGATTTCGTTAATATTCATCCTAATTGCTAACAAGATAAGTTGAATAGACAGCAAATGTGCAAATAACAACCCTCCCTTGTCTATATCTAAATCTCTATCAAAATGTTTAACCCCGTTTCCCAACACCTCCCCCTTCTCTGAACCAATCAAAATTTCCAGAAAATATAAGATATGGCATTGCTTTTCTTCTCATTTCCGGTTTGAGGTAGCATTCCCATAATGCTCTTGTGCTTCCGGAAAGCGTACCTCTCCATGCTGGTGGTGGAATTCCGGCCCAAATGGGCACAGCGGTCATCTCTATACTGTGGTCAGTGGAGGCCGAACTGTCCGGAGTGTGGCCTCTGAAACGGTTGTACCTATGTCGAGGAATCTTAACCTTCCCTTTAGCTATCTCAATGTCCTCCCTGTTTAAAGATATAGGAAATTATACACAAAATTGCAAAATGTTTGGAACTTTTTTTTCTTAATCCTTCTAACTCAACCACCAAGTAGTATTGCAGCGTAACATCAATCAAAATAAGTTTAAAACGATTACATTTGAACAGAGATTCGGATTAGTTGGTAAACATGAAGGAGTGCAGGAAAATATACTCAAAATCTGTTAGTATCTATAGAATAAATTGGTGCGTCTGTTTGGCTATTAGGATGTTTTCTTGATATGACAATTCACTATTACCGTATAGTAGTAGCTGCAAGTTAAGTGGAATGAAATCATTTAATTCGCGGTAGAGTTTAATTCTCTGATCCGCATAATTATTGCAAGTAAAAATGAAGTGAAATGTATCTTCGATAGGATGTCCACATTGACAATGCTGAAAATTTATTAAATTAGCATGAAATAAGTGATTGTTTAAGGTACTAGAGCTATTTCTCAATCTGGTTTGCAAAATATTACTTTTTCGATCACCAAGGAGATAATATATAGGGACTTCTGATGTATTAAGCCTACAAAGAGTATCTTTAAAAGCTTTATATAAAACGCTGTGTCTTATATTAAGGTCTAACTGGTTCCTGATTCGGATTGTGGAGGGGATAACAGACAAATTTGTTAATTGAAGTCGTGAATTAGGTATACAGTAATTTTCAGCATTACGGAGGTTATAGTGTGTTTTCTGAAATTGTAGGGGGAAGTAAAGAGGTAAGATAGTTAGGTGTAAGATTCTTATGGATGTTGTAAAACACTTATAATTTCCGCCAAGTTCTACGTTCAGATAACGTTTCTAGACCAGTTTCAAAATACAATGATTCTCTTACTTGAGTAAGATGATAACCATGTGATAATCCTTACAGCCTCAAGCTGAAGTTTTTCTAATTTGTCTGCGTCACCGAGAGTGCACCCATCCCATACCTCACAACAGTATTCTAATAGAGGAAGAATGTACGATCTAGAAATTTTACTTAAAGTTCTTCTACTCACAATAAATTTCAATTTACGTAAAACGCTTAACTGCTTCGATACCTTTATACAAATATTTTCAATATAGGTACTCCACTTACAGTTTTATCCAAAATTACTCCAAGGTGCCTATGATTGTCAACAAAATCAACACTAACGTTATTGTATTTTAAATCGATAAAATACTCAAGTTCAAACACATTTCTAGGCAACTACTCCAACACCGCTTAACACTTTTATATCTAGGTATTGTTATTCGTTATGCATAAATGATTTAATACAATGTGCATCAATCTATCTATGTCTTAGATATTTATCGATGTATTCATAACTCATTAAATGTTAGATGTCATAAAATGATAAATTACTTGTAATTACACGTATAATTATCGTTTAATTAAAAAAAACATGATTTAGTACATATGTTGTATTTGCATAAATCACATACACTAAAACAGAGCGGTATAGTTCGTTATCAGAGAAATCGAAACGGATATATGTTGATATGAATATGTTAATGTAAAATACGGAATCCAAAATAAAACGAACACATCTTCTTTAAAAACTCAAACATCAGATTATGACAACTATGGTCAAATTGTGCGAATACGTTGATCTCAAGTTAAATATATAATATTCTGTGTTACTTCACTTTATTGATTACGTCACTTACCAAATTGTGACCATGATCGCCATGACGACGATGAGGATGAAGAAGACACCGGCTACGACAGAGGAAGCGATTATCCCCAGAAGAGCCTTGTCATAACACCAAACACCTGCACAAAAAAGAACACATTGGTGGATTACGTCAGAGAATATGTCTTCTGCAACAGCAATTGATATATGACGAAAGAGTCTTAAAAATGGTTTGGACACTGAAGAGCCTTAGTACCTAAGAAATGGCATGATCGTATAAGGCGACTAATGTGGGAACTAAAAAATCAGGGCTTCATCCAAGAAGTCGAACTTTATCTGCTATCCCCATAAAACACTAAGGATCTCTTATCTTCTATTTTTATATGCTATCATGTCCTTGATGTACTCTAAATTGTTTCCTGAGTGGTCTCCGACATCAGTGATTAGCATCGACAAAACATCGCCTATATTGTTTTTATGTTTGCAATAAACAGAAGTGGTATCCGGAAATTCCGTGACTTGGGAGCTCCCGTCCCACCTGTGGTGCCATGATCACAATTACAAAGCATTTGAAGTTACAACAAAAGAACCATGGTTGAGTATCAGATTCCTAACCAGAGCAATCCTTCCTCGAATCTATTGGAATGCAAACGTCATGTTAAGGTATCCATATCTTATGTGGTTTGCTATATTAATGATATTATGACGGGAGGGTCAGTCTTAGTGGCGGTAAATCATTGTCTTACTATAAATACACACGTGTTTAACGCCCTTTATAGATAGTGGCAGGCATTTACGACAGCCACTTGTCAATCAACGCGGCAGTGTGGTGTGCACATGGTTGTTGGTCAAAACTTTGCTAACATTGATTTTATACTGTGTTTATACACTGTAACAGTGGTGATTATCTACACGTACGGAACATGCTTTCACGTATTAAGGCTGTACGCTATCTGACTCTTTTTTTTATCTCCTTTCTAAAAGAGTTACACACTAACAAACCTGTAAAGTTTTCGGTTTGGGCTTTACAAAGTTACGCGTCCTAGTAACAGCTAATGTCATTTAAGGACGCGCCTTCATGAGTTTTATGCATATATATTCATTTGTCTATGTGTGTTGGAGACGGTATGTTGGTGTATTCACTCCTTGCAGTAACGCGGATATAATGTCGACTTTGGAGTGCTACCTAAGTGAAATGTCATACCTAAGGCACTCAGCATGGAAGGCCATCCACTCACATTGTACTGACTGTTTGTTGCGATTTCCCTAAAGGATCAACGTTAAGTAGGGAACAACATTTCTCTGATCATGGCGTCATCAAATATGGGTCTTGGAATTGGTCTAATGTACTGAAGCATTCAATTTTACAACAAACCTTACAGTGCCTGAAAAAAAAGATTTGGGGCGATTCAATCCTATGCACATTTCTGGCGAAGTGATTCCGATACCTTATCGACGCTCCTATGAATTATCAATTCGTGTTGTCCTAGTTTCCATTAAAAGACAAAAGAGGTTGACAAACATGTTTTCCCTTGACAGCTACAGAAGAAGTACAGAAGCATGATGCAGGAAACAAAAATGCTATCGATCCCAGTGACGTATTGTATGTACATCTGAACCTCGTTCTTAGAAATTGACCCGACGTGGTACACCGTCTGGAAGAGACGAATATTTATAGTGGCATATCATTCCGTCTGGAAGCATGGATATCTATTAATCTTTGCCGGCTCCGTCAGTTTTCATCGAGCACAGTGCCACGAAAATGCTTTATAACTGTATTCTAGACCATTTGTTTTACGGGAACGCGCTGCCACGAATAAACATTGCGGATTAGAGGCGCGATATAAATCAATAATAAACACAGACCATCCTCTCTGCAACACTTCCTTTTGATGAATCATGAATATCGTTTGAAGTGAAAACGAATTATTAAAGATACACGTACATTTTGATCACATACTAAATACTTGTGTGCAAAATAAGCGTTCTTGATCGACTCTCACAGGTTTGACTCTGCCACCTCTAATCTCGTTACATTAAATTGAATGGCATGATATCACATATAGCTTGGTTTTTCATTGGTTGACAAAAACACCAGCCAATGAAAATCAGACCGATTTACATCTACGATTTGCCTAAAATTTTGTATGAATGTAAAAAAAAATAATTGTCGCGAAACTTAAAACATATTTTCGTGCTGAAAAAAATAATCTTAATCACATTTGGTCATGATAAATCCACCACATGGGCATTTTCTCCGCAAAATACACGGGGATGTATGTACTCGTTAAGATAACGTTATATAGCTTGTCTGACCGCTGCGTCTTTCAGCGGAACGGTTTGCGATTACAGTAAAATCGCTAAAACGCCATTATCTGATATATAAGATGGTGTCTAAATGAGATAAGGAGAGCCAGCCCATTCTACACCGATCAAGCTTGCGATTGTTCAATAATGATGACGATTATGGCGGGTCTAAGAGTCTGATTTTGCCATAAAGTCATTCCCAAAGCGTTCCAGTGACGTAGATTGTGACATATTATGCACAGGAGCGTAAAGCAAAACTTCAAAGGTATAATTCCGCTTCAGACTATAATTTTCTTTCCTTATAGTCTTCATATATTAATCAAGAACATCTATCACTGCATAAAGATAAAAGAGTTTTTTCTCTGGTTTTTTTTTTTATAAATATGAAAACTTTTGAAGTTATTATCGACTTTTCTGACGATCAACGGATGGTGCAATTAGTTCCTTTACGTAAGTTAACCGTTCAATATAATTAATCATTTGAAATAGATAAGTAGGCCTATTTAGTCTCAAAGTGTTGGTAATAATAAATCATGATTACTAAGTACATGTTCCAAGATAATAGTACCAGGTCAATTGATCAATAGCCGATCATCGGGGATCCTTTCCATTGGCATATTTTACAATCGGGAACCGTCGGCACTTTCCGTAAACGAGAAAATGTTCTCGTAACGATACATACAAAACCATGTCATTTACAGGAGCATTTCTCTTTAATTGATCGTCTGTTTCATGTATGTATGGTTTATAGTTACAATTGATTGATAGTGATTTCAAATTTCTCGTCAATTTGCTTCCTGAGCATGCGCAGCGATTTGAGGAGTAAACAATTTTTCAGATTGATAATTTACATGGGCTTCATACAAACTACAGTCCAATGATGGAAACTAACATGGCCCCACAGTAAACGAAATTGTTAAGAGTTACTTCCGTTTCAAAATAATCCCTTCTATTCCAGTAAACAAATAAATTACGTGGTGCTGACTGTTAACAAACGGCAATCAGCAAAGATTGAAGAGTTCGCACTTTTAGTGTTGCCTGGCAACAGTTTTCACGCCACACAAACCGACAATAAATAACTGGTGACACAGTTTCAAGAAAACCTGCTGTGCTACAACTTGAAAGTACAGAACCACGAGGCTAGTGTGAAGTATTAAGAATAGCAAATAGCAGCCTATTTGTTCCAGAGGGGGGAGGAGGGGAGTGTTCCAAATTTCAAGGGGGAGGGGGGGTTCCATGTGGGGAAAAATTGAGGAAAATGGCAAAAATACCAGATTTTTAAAGAAAATTCTCAGGCGGGGGGGGGGGAGACTTTTAAAGCGTGTTTTTCTTCCAGACTTTGACACTTCTAAAGGACAAATGCATCAGACATTTATCAAAGATATCTTCATGGATAGAAAAGAAAGATACATTCATAAAAGCTAGACACGTCGTATGTAATATTATACATATCAGTATATCATATATAAAGTAGAGAGCCAGACGGATTGACAGTGGTCTAACGGCCGTTAGGATTGTACCATGATGCCTATATCAATATGCTCGAACAAATACATATAATTGATGACGATATTCTATTTCCCAGTCAATACTGACAAACAGGGAGTGGGAAATTTATTAATTTATTTCCGACATACACGCTATACTTACTTGACCTTTTTATGTTTGCACACATATTATGTTTTAGGCGTAAATACATCCTGACAATGACCGTCGTAAGACTAAACGCCTCCTTCCCGATCCATCATCCCATCGCCAAGGCGGGGGTGACAGCCGACTGCCCGGGGGGACGGACACGCCACATTTTAATTAGCGTAAATGTATTTTGGCTGATAGTCGCTCGGCCGTGATATCCGAGTTACAGGGTCTTGTAAGGACCTGCATTACATATATATTACAGCGTGTAAGGAATTCACGGTAAAAACAATAAAATATTTTTGTTGTTCACAGGTAATAAAACAAACAATATATTGGACACGGTGATAAGTTTCATACAGGTACTCTTGTTTTGTGGGAAATACTAAATGCGATGGCTGGTTCAGGACAACGTATTATTGTGATCTGGTTATAACAACATAATTAATCGTCACAAATCATTATTCTATCGTAGCATTTTCGTATCTGGTTATAACGACATATTCTATCGTTATACATATCTCACTATTTTATAGTAACATATCGTATCTCGTCATAACGACAAATTTTATCGTCACAAATCACTATTTTATCGTTACATTTCCGTATCTCGTTATAACGACATATTTTATCGTTATATCTCACTATTTTATCGTAACATTTCCGCATATCCTTATAACGACATCTTTTATCATTACTACTCACTATTTTATTGTAACATTTTCGTATCTCGTTATAACAACATATTTTATCGTTACAACTCATTATTTTATCGTAACATTTTCGTATCTTGTTATAACGACATATTTTATCGTTTCAGCTTACTATTTTATCGTTACAACTCACTGTTTTACCGTTACATTTTCGTATCTCGTTATAACGACATTTTCTATCGCATATCGACACATCTCGTTATAACGACAACATTTCTCGTAAACCGACACATTTCGTGAAAATGACTTTGATACTGGTGTATTGATACATCTCGTTATAACGACACTGTTTCTCGTAACCCGACATACCTTTATAACGATTTTGTTTAGAGTATATGGATATAATTCCTTATAACGACATATTGTATCGTTGTACTGATAATATACTCGTAGTACAACGCCATAATGAAACACGATTAAATGTCTCGTTGTAACAGGAGTAAACGCATATCGTTATGTCCTATATAATTCAGCGTAGTATCGTT